GGTGATACCAAAATGGAGGGGGGACTATAAGAAGCTATCTTGTAGAAATCAGATCGTTGGCTCATGAAATTCATGAAATATTTGTACACTGATGGGCAGCAGTTCTCCAAGATTTTGAACAGGAATCTTTCTCAGCTTGAACTGGAAATATGGGGGATTGGAACTGGGAGCTTTTGCATCTAAAGTATTTGCTAGTGAGTTACAAGCAGCTCCCCAACTCTTTAGCATTTATTTTCTTCCCTGGGATTTAAACTAAAAAAAAAAGTTTAATCACCTGTGAATTAGTTTTTGGACAGTGTAGCAAAAGGGACAGGAATATTCAAAATTAAGTGAATTATGCAATTCTTGAAGTGTTCTTTCTTATTAATACAGTAAGCACTCTGTAGAACATCTACTGTCTTGTGATGCATCCTGAATCTTACATTTAGCCAACCATTAGGAGTAGGATATTACACCTGCATAATGTGTCCTCTGGCCAAGAAGTTCTAGAAGGTGGGGCTTGTCCCAAGCTGTTTTTATGCTAAGTGTCAACCACACCTCTAAATTTCCCCTGAATTCTTACTTTGCTGGCTGAGGGCAATATACCCTTTCCCTCCATGCCTGTTGTGGGTTGGTGGTGTCCTCAACTTACTATTCTCTGTAATCAGTCCAATCTGGAAGGGACTTTGAAGCATAGATTTATGCAAATCATCCATGCATGTCTTTTTATCCTGCTTTCCTGCCTACATGTTTACAAAAAATGAATCTGAGGTCTATATTACTAAACGTTCTGTCTTCTGGCAGGACTCTCTTGCGCTCCAGGAGCTCTGCTTCAGCTCACCAAAAGTGAGCATTAGGGTGTCCAACAGTAACCACTACTTCATTGCTTTCTGCCTTCCCTGTTAAAGCTTTATCTTGGGCAGAAAAAACAAAGGCCATACGATCCTGTAATATTTCCATGATGGAAGTGGGTATGCATGCAAGCAGAAAGGAATAGGTACAGCAAAAGAAGCCACAAACAGTGGCGCTTCATTTTAAAAAAGTTTTTTTCCATCAATATGAGCTTTCCTGAAATGATGAGGCAATTGCAGTGACAAGAGCACGGGACTGGGACTCAGACGATCTGGGTTCTAGTCCCCGCTCAGCCATGGAGCCAACTGGGTGACTTTGGGCCAGTCACAGACTCTCAGCCCAACCTGCCTCACAGGGTTGCTGTTGTGGGGATAAGATGGATGATGTAAGCTGCCTTGAGCCCTTTGTGGGAAAAAGGCAGGATATAAATAAAAATAAATAAAAAATAAATAAAATAAATAAAAAATACCAGCTCGCTGAGTATGTTTCTCAGTGCTTAAAGGACATGCCAGCTCTTACCATTTTGAGATGATTAGGGAAACATCATTTCCAGATTTTTTCTTTCCTCAAACTTCTAGTAGTTGCACTGATTTCTTGTTGTTGCTTAATGATTTTTCCCCTTGGTTTTACTGATCTTCCCTGTCTCAATGTTTTAAATAATTATATTTGTTTTATTGTTTGGGTCTGCTAATTTCAGATTTTTTATCATTCTTGCAAGGTATTTTGTTACAAAGAAGCATTGTAGAAATATTTTAATAATATTTATTTATTGCACCTTTTTCTGCAGTTTTTGGATACAAAAATATGAAGTGTTTGCCCCATGAGAAATATGCTTGGCATTGTATATACCACTGGCAAGCTTTGACTGTGTTTTTAAAGAATTTGTAGTTTCACTAATGCATTCTGCCTTATTTGTACATTAACTTGGTCAACATTTTATGCTGATTTAAATTATGTGATTTGCAACTGATTGACTAAAATGTGGTGATTAATGGATGGGAGAAAGATGACATCCTGAGCACATACATCAGTACATCACTCCCATCTAGATTTTGGCTTTAAGCTAAGTATTCTGCCTCGTTGTCATGATATAGCAGGGCTACATTCAGTAGACTTGAACATGAGAATGTTTTAGTCTGTCTGCCTTGCTTACCAAGTATCTCTCTTTGCTGGGAAGTCTGGCCTTGAGAGCTCACAGCTGAGAAGTCGAGCAGATCTGGCTGGATAAATTGTGGAAGACACAGCAGTGGTCTCTTATCTAGGGAACCTGTTGTCCTTGCCTGTGCTGAAGATCTAGAGTCCCATTTCTCTTTTGTTAACTTTTTTTATCACTTCCCTCTGACTCCTGCCTTATCGGGGATTTACATATTAGCCCCTAGGAATAGGAGCATATAAAAGAGCCTGTGATCTCAAGGATGTCTCTCCCCTCCCCCCAGCACGCAAACAGATAAAATTTGTGGATTTTTTTCTTTGAGCGCTTCTCCAGCTTCTTGCATCCCTACTTTTAACTGTTTTATCCCCCTCTTAAATCTTGATTTACAAATTATTATTATTATTATTATTATTATTATTAGAACATTTCTATGCCACCCCTTGCCGAAGCCTCGGGGCGGCTTACAACACAATAAAATACAATATAATACAAAAATAACATTATAAAATTAATAATATAAAATAAATAAAAATATAAACGATATAAAAGGAGTTAGAAAAGTTATAAAAGAAAAGAAAAGAAGTCGCCCTGGCCAGATAAATAAGTAAATATTGTTAACAATTAAAATGATGTTTAAATAAAAAGGTCTTCACCTGGCGCCGAAAAACAAATAACGACGGCGCCAGGCGGACCTCTCTGGGGAGCATATTCCATAGATTGGGCGCCACTGCAGAGAAAGCCTTCCTCCGAGTACCTACCCTCCTAATTTCTTTCACGGAGGGTTCCTGGAGAAGGGACTCTCCCGCAGATCTCAAGGGGCGGTCGGGCATATATGGATGTAAGCGCTCCTTCAGGTAACCAGGTCCCAATGGCACTGCCAAGCAAGAATTAAATAAGAAGTACTTTCTAATAGGCTTTCTAGTGCCAGTAACCAAACCTGAGATTAATTTTTAGGATGTGAAACTTGTTTTTGCAATGATTTATGTTGCTCTCTAAGTACATTTCCAGAATGGCATAGATTCTGAATGAAAGGCTTTCAGCCACCAATGTTTGTACCTTTATGAAGGAGGACATGGTCTGTATCCCTTAACATGATAGTTTTGTTTTCAAATAGAGTTTGAATATTCAATCTGATATCTTTTTGAGCAATAACTGTTTTTCATGTGTGCCTTTTTACTGGAAACAAAGGTGAACTTTCCATAGTGAAGATCTGAATAGTTCTTGTGCACAATTAACTGCTTTGTTTGAGAATTGATTTTTTTTTTGGTCCATTCTGCAATGCACAAGAGAAAATCACAGTGTTTAATGCACTGCGTGTCCTAGTAGAACTGAAATAGTTGGTGTTAAGAGTTCAGAAAATAGGGGAGTGATGGCACAGTAGAAATATTTTTCCCCACCTGCTAAAATAATTATATTGAGTCACAGAGAAGCCACAGTGCTGTTTCTAGGTAGGACTGAGGAAAACCTTTGCCCAGAGCTCACCCAGGAATTAATTCAAGGCAAGGTGACAGCTGCAGGTGACCATTTGGAGTACTGAATGACTGTTACAACCAGCATTTATCATTGACTTCAGACGGGATTAAGCACTTTGAGGTGATTGTTATTGGGTACAGCCTTAGGAGGATTATTTCCAGGACAGAGCAAGTTGTCATGGAGAGAAGAAATGTTCCTCCTTCCCCCCTTGCATTCTGTAGTGTTCAATTAGAGGGAAGGCTAAAATCAGCAGCAGGGAAGCTGGCTGCCTTGTCTTCTTTGCAGAGTTTATCCATTGAACGATGAACTATTCTCTTTCGGTCAGCTGGTGAAATGACAACTTTACCTTTGAAATCACTGTTCATCTAAATATGTTTTATTATGCTTTGATGTTTACATCTTGCTTATGTTTTACATTCCTAGGCTTTTGTTTCCTCAAGAGTAATAAGTATAGTTGTTTTGGAAATGTATGTATTAACTAGATTGCCTCACATAATTGGGTTTTACCAGAAAGGGTGGACATGTTAAAATAGTGGAAATCAAAGGTATCTGTTTATTTCAAAAGTCTTATCAGGAACTTTTGAAAACCTAGTGTCTCTGATAAGTCATTAATATGAGGACAAGGAATGAGTTAATGTATCGCACAATGTCAAAGCTGAAATGTCAAGGGAACAGATAGGAAGCTACAACTACTTTCATGAAGCCATATTTGCCTCATTAACAAATTGAGTATCAGCTGCCTGTATACTTCAGAAGGTCATTGCAAGGTTGAATAGGAAGGAAACTACCTTTCTTGAAGTTAGCAGGGATAGAGAAACATTTGTTGATGGAAAATGAGCAAGTGAGAAGTTAGTAAGCCACATGACTTTGAATCTGAACATTGAGGACTGGGAGGATGACAACCAAAGGGTGAAAGCTGAGGAGTGAAGGGGAGGAAAATAGGCTCTGAATTTGCTGTACTATAGCTGTGATTGCCAGGATGTATGGGTCAGTGAAAAGGGAGCAGGTAAAGGTATATGACCAAGTGTTACACTGTAAGATTGCCAATGTTTTTTAAGTGAACCAATTTTGAGGTCCTCAAGCCTTTGCTTAGGCTGCCTTGGCTAAGCTTCTGAGCATTTTGATCTTTTTCAAGTGGAACCAACAGACAAACAATGGCTTCTCTGCCAGCTTTAGCTCATTCCAGCTATGAAAATATCCCAGACGATGGAAACTGGCCTGCATGGAGTCACAATGGCTAGGCATGATTTTCCTTAAAATATAGCAAAATGCAAAAACCATGCTAACTACAGCCTTAATTCTGATGAGCAGGAACTGGTCCAAATAGAAGGACCCACAAGCACCAGGAGGGATAGTTTTCAGGCCCCTGAGAGAAACGTTTGCGCTCTCTGAGCTATTTGTTTTGGGAGGGGTGTCTGTTAAGCACAGGTTTGCATAGTGTGATATTAGCATGCTTTCCATGAAGCATGTAGCTTTAAGTACTGGCACATGACTTGCATTATGGTTTTTAGTTTTCACTGTGTTTGGGGTACTTTTCTTACAGTTGCTGCTGCCCAAGCATTAGCGGAAGAAAGAAGAAACCAAAGTGGTGTTAGTCCTGTTCCAGTCCAATCTCCAATAAGTGTAAAATCCTCAACTAAGCCAGGTAAAATCTTTGATTCTAATATGGAATTTACATTGCTCTCCTCTTTTTGCACTTCTTCAGCTTAGAATCCATCCTATTGCTATTTCTTTCGGGTGAAAATATAGTCAACTTGTTTGGCTAATGAAGTTTAATTGCATATTTTCATTCTCAAGGGGTTTCATTTTGTTCTCTTTCAGAAGTTAAATAAGCTTTAGTCTTCTCAAGCTAGTGAAAGCACACACTTGTGACATGGGAATTGGCCGCGCCAGTGTATGTACTTTTCATACAGATGTAACTACCAACAGAGGAAGTCTTATATAAGGTTGAAAAAGTGCTATTCCCATATTACAAATAAACATCAACCCTTGCACATGAGGGTGGAAATGAAATGTATAAAAATGTAACACAAGTAATGGTTATTTGTTTCTTTGAAAGTCTTCAATTTGTAAATAGTTTGGATGTCCTATTATTTACAGTGATAGATGGCTCTATCATGAAATCAGAAGAGAGGCAAAGACTAGCAAGGGAACGTAGAGAAGAGCGAGAGAAGCAACATGGTATGGTGGAATCTAATTAAGTGCCTATTAAGGTCCTCATTGTGTTTTAATAATGTGTGTGGTTGCAGCTAGGGATAGATGGAGTTATTTTATTTATTAGCTTTGTTTAAAAGCTGCCCATTAGCATCATGCTTATCATGTTTTATGTTCTATGTCACTTTCCCCTGTATGTTTTCATAATCCCCTTCCCTCTTGTTTCTTCATCACTGTGGCAGCAGAAGGCAGACCTGGGTTTGGCAGAGCTTTGAATAATCATGCAGCAGGAACATTGTTCTTTGCACAGCGCTTTTCTAGGGTTGCCACGGTACAGACTCCCACAATTCAGCAACAAAGTTTTGTCAGTATCCAAATGATGCTTTTCTGGTTAAACCCTTCACTGCACTTGCGTGGCAGTCCCTAAAATGCTACAAAGGAAGTTTTAAAAAGCACTTGGTTTCTTGTAAATAGGAACATGTTTTGCACCCTTTGAAATTTTGAATTTGAAATTTGGTTTGTTTTTCATTGATCTTGGGCTTGTTGTGCAGTTGATTCCTCACATGCAGGAACTAAAAGTGAAACCATGACAGTTCCATTACCTCCATATTCAAGAGGCAGATGATAAATAGATGGCAAATCCTGGTGTTTAGAACAGCAGGGTACTGAATGCACTGGCTTCCTCGCAGTCACTGTCACTCAGGGTGCACTTGTTCATGAAAACTCACCATAAAGACTTGAGTCTCCATTCCTCAAAGGAGAGAAGAGTGACTTTGTGAGGCTAGGAGAAAAATCTTCTGGTAACCTCTCAGGCAGTCTTGCCCAACTTGGTGCCTTCTGGATGTTTTGGACGATAGCTCCTAGGATTCCTGACTATTAGCTGTGTTGTCTGGAGCTCATGGGCATTGAAATCCAAAACATCTGGACACACCGTGTTGGGGAAGGCTGCTCTAAGGAATGTCTACTGCAGTTTCTTTGTATTACTTTCTCCCCGGGGCTTGGCTCTCCAGTTAAACTAGAGCACTGACTATGTGGTTTTGATTTGAATTCAGAGGAGGTGTGTATTAGTATAAACCGAGACATTTGATTCTCTTTGCTGCTGCTTTGGGCTTTTCTTTGACCTCTAGCAGTTGCCAGAAATTGGGGAGGACAAATTATAGCTGAGTGAGCAGGTTTAGATCTCTTGTGAACTTGGGTTTTGTGTGTATGTGTGTGCTTTGCTTGCCGTGTCTTGCCTTGCAGAAGCCAGAACAATATACTTTCCGTTTATTTGATGTAAAAGGCAGATTACCATGTCTCTCCAAGCCATGATGAGTTAGTTAATTTGGTGCATGTGCAGGTGGCCTTATTGCATATTCAAGCTGAAAATGTGGCTTGGCATGTCATATGAACCTAGTGAACATGGGTTGTTGGCAAGATTAACAATAACCCACAATCCATAGGCTGTTTTATGGTTGTTGTCATTTGTTAACAATGCCAACAACCCACACTCACTGGGTTCATGTTAAAACCAACGCCTGCCATGACCTGACTATTACTTAGTCATTCATTCATTTACTCATTCGTGTCTATACCACCCAATTGCCAAAAAGCTCTCTGGGGACTATGCAAAAGTCCTCCAGCACTCACCAGAAATAAGCTGCAGTGGACTGTGGTGATTGTGTGAACCAGGACACTTGGTAGAATCCAGTGTTAGTCCTATGTAGAATAACTTAAGCATTTGTTTCAGTGGGTATACTTGAAGTAGCAATTACATTGGATACTAACCTCTGTGAAAGTTGATGATGTCTGTACACTTCTGTAATGTTGTTAAAATACACAGCTGCCAAAGAAACACAAATACTGGAAAAGGAAAAAAAGGCAAAGCTCCAATATGAAAAACAAATGGAAGAGAAGCAGAGGAAGCTGAGGGAACAGAAGCTGAAAGAGCAGCAAAGAAGAGCAGCCGTAGAGGAAAAGAGAAAGCAGAAGATTGAGGAAGAGAAGGTACTTGCATTTAGTGCTGTTGCAAATGAGAGGTGTCACTCAGTGGAGCCAGCTCATTTATTTTTAAAGGTTGCTGTTGAGCTGTAGGGCTGCTTTCGAAGTCCCTCTCCTGAAATCATAGGAGTATCTGCAGTGTAGGGAGGAGGACATTCCAAAAATGCCCGTCTGCCCCTTGAGATCAGCGGGAGAGGCCCTTCTCCGGGAACCCTCCCTGAAGGAAATTAGGAGAGTAAGTTCTCGGAGGAGGGCTTTCTCTGCGGTGGTGCCCAATCCATGGAATGTGCTCCCCAGAGAGGTCCGCCTGGCACCGTCGTTATTTGTTTTTCGGCGCCCAGCAAAGACCTTTTTATTCAAACGTTATTTTAATTGTTAATATTATTTATTTATTTTATTCTTTGGCCAGGGTGACTTAATTTATACTGTTAAATTATATTGCTTTATAGAATGTTATTCATTTATGTTTGTGAGCTGCCCTGAGGCTTCGGCGAATGGGGAGGCATAGAAATTCCCAAAATAAAATAAAATAAAAAAATAATCCTCTATCTCTGGGATGTTTTTCCAGGACCATAGGATTGTGTAGTAAGCTTCCATATTCTGACTGAGATGTGAATCCTGGGTCTTCGGTATGGACAGTATACCAAAGAGAGAATTTGGCAGCTGTTTGAGAGAAAAGTTGTCTCCTGTGGATAATTAGACAGTTTCTTATGGCAGTATCTAAATCTTGTATCTGGTAGTGTCCACTGAAAATCCCTGATTCCACAGAGTGCGATATACCATTGTGTACGGGGACTTGCTTCAAATTCTGTTACCACTTCCAATTTTTCCTATTTTTGCATAGGAGTCTTAGGGTTTGATGCGCTATAGACTCTGTTCAAAATGCTGTTTAGTGGTTCTGAATATTTCTTAACTTGGCATTTTAAATTTTAAAAATCCTAAATGTGTATACGTACAATTCTCATCCTCTCTGTGTTTTAAGAGGAAGAGCACTTGTTGCCAGGACCAGAAGTTACACAAAACCACAGGAATAAATTTGCTAATCCATCAGGCCTCAAGCCACACAATAGCTGAATGAATGCAAATTTGGGCTAATGCTGTTTATTAACAAGATTGTGACCAGTCTTTGCATGTTGTCCCTTGAATTCTGATTAGTTACCTAAAGTAAAAATGGGTCTTTTATTGTTAAGAGTAAACTCCTTATAAAAAGGATTCTGTACTACTTTTATGTTTAGCAGCTATCAGTTACTGCCACCTAATTCTAGAGATTTGTTTAATAGGAGCGTTATGAAGCAGTAGTGCATCGCACCTTGGAGCGGAGCCAGCGGCTGGAAACCAGGCAGAAGAGGTGGTCATGGGGTGGCTCTGTAACGGATTCTGATGGAAAGTCAGGTGGGTGTCTTCTCTGCTTGCCTCGAATGACGACCTGCATGTCAGAGTAGACTGACCTGGCCTGCATGAGACAGTGGGCAGATCCCTTAAAGGCAGCTTCAGATGTTTGGAAAGTGAACCTGTATTTGCAATCTGGCAAACTATTTAAAGATAAATAGTTCGGTTTGATGGCAAAAGAAGAAGGGGACGGCAGAGGATGAGGTGACTGGATGGAGTCACTGAAGCAGTTGGTGTGAGCTTGGGTGGACTCCGGGGGATGGTGGAGGACAGGAGGGCCTGGAAGAATGTTGTCCATGGGGTTGCGATGGGTCGGACACGACTTCGCAGCTAACAACAACAAAAATAGTTCAGTGTCTACAGGCAACCCCCAGGTTACAAATGAGTTGCATTCCTGAGAAAACAGAAATTGGTCTTTAAGTCAAATTTGTAAGTCAGATTCACATTCAACCCTGCAAAAGTGGCAAAACCAATATTTATTTATTTATTTATTTATTTAAAGCATTTCTATGCCGCCCCCATCGCAACAAAGCCTCGGGGCGGCTCACAACATACATAAAATACAATCAATAATTTAAAAACTGGTACCATCTCTGCTATATATTAAAATCTATAAATACAATCATAATAAATTAACAGTTAAAATAACTTTTAAATAAAAAGGTCTTCACCTGGCGCCGAAAAGCAAATAATGACGGCGCCAGGCGGACTTCTCTGGGGAGTGCATTCCATAGGTGGGGCGCCACCGCAGAAAAGGCCCTCCTCCGGGTACTCACCCTCCTAATATCCTTCACAGAGGGTTCCTGGAGAAGGGCATCCGCTGCCGATTGTAGGGGGCGGGCAGGCATATATGGACACAGACGTTCCTTTAGATAACCAGGTCCCAAGCCGTTAAGGGCTTTATAGGTCATAACCAACACCTTGAATTGGGCCCGGACTTCAATAGGGAACCAGTGAAGCTGACAGAGAATTGGGGTTATATGCGAACAATGTCTATTCCCTGTCAGCAACCTGGCAGCTCTGTTTTGCACCATCTGAAGTATCCAGACCGTCTTCAAGGGTAGCCCCACGTAGAGCACGTTACAGAAATCTAGTTGGGAAGTTACCAACGCGTGGGTCACTGTCACCAGGCAGTTCTTCTCCAGATAGGGACGCAGTTGATGGATCAGCCAGAGCTGAAGGAAGGCGCTCCTCGCCACCACCGTCACCTGAGCTTCTAACGACAGCTCAGGGTCAAGGAGCATTCCCAAGCTGTGAACCCTGTCCCTCAGAGGGAGTGCAACCCCATTTAGGACAAGGCCCAAGTCCCCCACCCCGAAGCCCAAACCACCCACCAACAGGACCTCCATCTTGTCTGGATTGAGCTTCAGTTTATTGGCCCTCATCCAGCCCATTACCTCGCCCAGGCACCGGTTCAGTATAGCCACTGCCTCACCTGGATTGGCAAAATATCTTTGCACCCCCCCACCCCAACTCACCAGCAGTTCCTCTTTGCACCAAGGAAATGCCAAGGGATTTATCTCTCCAGGTAGGCAGGGCAAGAAGGCCTGCTCTGGAGGCCTCCTCCTCTCCCCTTTTGCTTCCTCTCTTTCTCTACAGTGGTGAAGATTTTCCACAGTAATTTTCTAAATTAATAGGCTTTATGGCAGTTTGTTCATAAGTATAGGTAGTGTGTAACACAGACGTTCGTAATCCAGGGACTGCCTATATTCATGTTTTTACACAAGGCAGTGTCCAGTGGTGACCATCTGCACCTGGCCCAGTCTGGCCTGCTGATTTTGCAGCACAAACTCCTGTTTCTACCTAGAATCCCTGCAGTGACTCAAAACCAATGGAAATGTTTGTTTCTGGGCAGGGCAGAGCAGTGAAGCTTACATAAGAAATCTCCATTGACCTGCCCCCTTTCTGTTTGTTTTGGGCCTTGCTCACTTGCTGCTATGCAAGGAGCAGAGATGGTTGATTAGCAACCATCCGATTGAGCCCCTTATCTATATCTTGATCAATTTGTGACCGAAAGGTTTGTTTGGATGAATACAGGCTGCAATATTGGTCGGTCATTCTGATGTGAATACATAGCACAGCATGCATGAGAAGCATTTCCTTAAAAACAAGAACAGAACAGTTGACTGACTCCCAGTTGTCAGTGATGTATAAAACTAAGCATTCATTACTCCTTGTTCCTTAATGCATTTCTTCTGAATTCTGTCATATTTTTATCACTGTGATTTTAGTTCCTATACATTCCTTCCACAGAGCCACCAACCACAGCTGAAGGTGGGTCCAGTAGGATTTATCTGCCTGCCTGCTCTTATTTTAACTAACCCACCTGTACTGGCATTTTTGCTAGTTGGATCTAAACAGTGTTGTCCTTGTACGGAACTGCATTGCTTCGATGTCTGTACAAAGCTATGCTCCTTTCAGCTAGCCAATTCTTTGCATGCTATTTTATTCTTAAGGCCTTTCTAAGTCCCCTTATGAGATGAGATGAGATGAGATGAGATGAGATGAGATGAGATGAGATGGAATGGGTGATTATTATAACAGTTGTCAGGACTCCACATTGGCCAAACAAGACTCTGCATTTCAGGTGGGGATAAATGCGTACCTGCAAAGGATCAGAAAAATGCTCTCCATTGTATACCTTTCTTCCACCCCCTGCTCCAGGAAAGAAGAAAGGGTAACAAGCTGGCAGTGGTTGCTCTAGAGAGCTGCATCAGCACTGGTAGAGTGGGTACAGTGGATACCTGAAGCACCAGGGAAAGAACCGGCCATAAATAAAAATTGTTTCACAATCAGAGCAGAGAGCAGGAGACAAGTCTGCCATGCAGGACCAGGGCTACTGACTGGAAGATGGGAGGGAAGGGAAGGGAAAGGGAAAGGAAAGGAAGACTAACCCACGGCAAGCCTGATCTTTTGTCAGGCTAATTGTGGTGGTTCCTCAAGCAGCCCACATTTGCATGGCATATTCCCACAGGGCTTCCATGTCATGTGGAGTTGCCCAGTATGTGTGAACTGTACTACCCAATATGGCTAGAAGTGTGTTTGGGAAAGCTGTATCATATCTTTAAATCATACAACATTTTGTCATTAACTCTCTGTGAGTTCCTTAAACATTGATGTCTTTCAGGCTTGCCTGTATTGTAGACAGTGTCAACAAATATTCTGCAGACACCCAGGGAATGCAGACCACAGAGTTGTGGGTGAACTGGAGTCTATCGCTCAGCATGATCTTAAGAACTGGAATCGGTTGAGCAGTGCTCTTGCTTATTGATAGGTTTCTTGATAACTCCAGTACTTTTGACTGTCAGATTAGCACAGAGTGCTTTGTTTGGTATGTCTACTCTCACACATCACTGGGAGAAGCATTAGTTTTTAGTCATACCCTTTGTTGCATGAATGGAACAAACAGCAGGCAATATAATTTTGCTCTAAAAGAAAAACCAAGGAAAATTTATGGCAGATGCCATAAAAACTTCCTTTTAGATGCAATAGCAGTTCTCCCATTCCTGGCAGTCACGTTGCCAAGAATATTAGCCTTCTCCTTGTACTCCAGTGAGATACTTTTCTTATTTATCTTTCTCATGCCTGAATGATGTGTTTGCCAATAATCTGCATGGCCAATATACTGCAAGGCTACTAATGCTGGCATAGACCTTCCACATGATTCATGCATTATGTACAGTCCCTGGAAAATTACTGTGTTCTGACTCTTCTCTATAACCTTGCTTCATATCAGCTCCAAAGGCTGGCACTCCTGTGAGCTGTTTCCTGCAGTTTTACCAGGGCTGCGGACCAAGGGATGTCAACAGAAGTAACTGGTCCCTTTTAGGACATTTTGCCTTGCCCTGCCTAAAACATGCCAATTCCAGAGGGTACTCCTAGAATGCTTTCTAGTCCAGCATCCTTTTCAGAATGAACTCAAGAGATTTAAAATGAGGTACATGCAGGTTCCTCAGAAGTGGAAGCAGTTCCTTTTTAATATCAAAAAGAATCCACATAATGCTTCCTCAGTTGTGCTGTGGAAGCTCAAAAGCGTTTTTTTAAAGGTGGTGCGGTGCTTGATTTGCTGCTTCTGTCCATCTCCAGTTTGTTCTCCTTTCACTACATGGGTGAACACACTGGTGGGGCGGCCTGCAGCAGTCCTCGTGGCCAGCTTGTCCAGTCTGTCATCTAAACCTGCTGTATGACAAAACTTTGCACTTGCTACCTTTAGAGGACGGTTCTATAGCAAATATGGTCCATTGGGAAGCCCTTTTAGCTGCCTGGTCTGTGTGGCTATCTTTACTGCGTTGACAGCTTTGTTGGCACTTTCACAGTGCCAGTGATGTGCGTTAACAGTCAGATTGTGCAGAATTTCACATTTCTTTTTCATTGCTTTGCGGTGCCTGCAGCACGCCAAGCTATTTTCTTCTGACTAAAAGATGCTTTCATAGATGTAGGTGTTCTGTGCACACCCTCTTGATATTCAGGTGGTATTACATTTGAGACCATGCCAGGGTCAGTATCTTCCAGGACGGGGAAAGAAGCTTTCAAAATCTAAAGCTCCTCTATTCATGTGTCTGAATTTTCACCCAGTGGATGATGGTTTGGAGGGTGACAAGGTAAGGGACAGTCACTTACTCTTCCTTACCATACAGCTGATGGGGAAAATATTTTTTTTGCCTTGAGCTTGTCCAGAACAGGTGTCAACAGAGTATTTAAAACAATTTTAAACATTATAGGAAGAATATTTTGTACCAGGTGTACAAGCTCTTTTCAAGAGCATTCCTACATGAAACACTTTTCAGCAATCTCGGCTGGAAGACCATCAAGATCTGTTCGCACTGCCACTGCATACTTTCCACCCATCACGGCCGTTGCCTAACTGCAACTTCAGATTACCACCCTATAAAAAAGAGAGTACTTGCATCACAGCTGTTTTGTAAACTTCCTTTAGGATATGTATTGAAATCCTTGAGTGGCTGTTTCGATACTTGAACAAAAGAAGATCAGGTTTGATATTGGGCTGCCAGTGCAACATCAGAAAAATATTGTAAGCTGGAAGTAGTGTAGCATTTCAGAGTGCAATCCTAAACCTGTTCAGACAGCAAAAAAAAATCTTATGCTGACTAGAGAGTGCTGAGAGCTGTAGGCCTTTATTCCTTCTAAACCTGCCTTGGATTGCGTCCTTAGATGCTAACTGCAAAGTAATTCATGTTCAGATATTTGTCCGATATTTTCCATATCCCCCACATGTTAAATGTTCAGTCTACAGTGTCAAAGAATAACATTTTGAACATAACACTGAAACTTTCAGGAAGAACTCTAAGGAAGCATTTGTTCATTATTAAGTAAATATACGTGCTCTCCTTCCACTGTAATTACAGCACTCAGGGTGCTGTGGACACGTGTAAACATTGCACAAATACAATAAAAATTAGAGTAGCTGGAAAGAAAGGCAAATGCTAAAATTGAAATTTTGTTTTCAGCTAGCAAGCGTTCTCCATCTGCAGCAAACCTCAAACAAGCTGAAACGGTCATCAGTAAGCGCCTTTCGTCTTCAGCAGCACTTCTTAATTCTCCCAGCAAGGGTAAGCTTGCGTTTGCAAAGAAGTGCGATCCTTCCTTTATAGCTCCTCTGTGATGTCCGGTCTTAAATGTATTTTACCCATTTTGTTAATCCAGTGGACTGTGCTCATCTCCAACTCAGTGGCTGCTGTTAGGACAGAAGAGTCACGGTAAATGTTTCACAGCCCCTCCATCTGGTTCTGAAATTCAGAAAGCAAAATCATTGATTCATGATTTTACTGTATACCCTTTTGTACTAACTCCTCAGGATTTGCATGCCTTCAATCGCACCAGCTTCACTTTAATTCAAAACTAAATAAGGCAGCTTTCTGAAAAGCGGTGGTGATCTTTTCTGAGTTCTTGTTGCTTATTTGGGTTGGGCTGTGCATTTCATCATGCCTTGAACACAAGGTGTGGTTCTTTCCTCCTCCTCCTCCTCCTGCTCCCCAGTTACATTGGAGTGGTATGAATATGTTTATAATTATGTGAATTGTGCCATGATGTATGCATAAAATGTGTTTTCTAAAGAGACAGATTCCATCAACTTTTTACAGCGAAATCACCTTTGGGATTAGAAAGATGGAAAGGCAGCTTCAGACTTGCAATTTTATGAACCTTCTATGTCCTGGCCCTTGTCTAGCTGTCACAAATAGCAGATTTGGTTGCATCTGGGCTTTAGCATATCAGATTACAGCTTGGAACTCATGTGCTTGAAAACTTCTGTGCTCATGCTTGTGTAAGCCCTCGCATGTGGTCTGAAGCGGTCCACCCCAGACATAGGCGTACCACATCATTTGTTGTCTGTGAGAATCAGCCCACTGTCCCCTTAAATAAGATCAAATGCATCCTTTCAGATGCCAAAGCTGTACCTTCGCCTCTCGCTGCAGAACATCAGCAAGCAATCAGATACATTCTGAGCATGTGCACACGTGTGGCCACAGAGCCAAACATCTGTGCACTGCTGCTGTGCACAGAAAGTGTGTGCTGTTTCACGGGGCCATTGCCATGCCATAGGCCTGCCTTTGCAAAAAAGAAAAGATTGCCCGCCTGTAGTGCTGGTGCTCACGCAGAAGTGCACTTTGTGAATGTGCAATTGTGGAAAGTAATTTACACAGCTGTAATTGAAATCTTCTCTCTTGATTAATTGGGAATGTGCCCCCCCCCATTTTCATCCACATGCAATTTCGTATGGACTGTAATTCATATTGAGCACAATGATTATTTTATTTTGGTCAAGTTAAATCTTAAGAACCAGCTTTGACTGATGCACATGTTGCTCTGTGGCAGCTGATCAAGGCATGCATTTTTCCTTTCAGGCTCAGCTAAAAGAAGTGCTTCATTAAACAGACTGAGTAACAAAGTTCCTCTGAATTCTGAGCAGCCGGTGGCCAAAGGTTTACAGGTGGAGCAGAAAGGTGCAGCAAACACAATTTTTCAGAACACCAGAAAATTGGGAATATTGCTAATGAAAACTTTTTTCCCCATAAACTCGGGTTTTCATTACAAGAATTTTAAGCTGTTCAGGGTACCTGCTCATGGCTACATATAGGACACAATCCACCCATGTTTGTCTTCACAGGCTGCATTGAGATGAACAGGAACTCTGCATGAAGATTTCAGTGCGGTGGCTCATGCAGAAGGATTGTGCCCAGAGCCCCAATGTTTGCACATTTGTCAGCTGTGAACCAACTCTATGGGGTGGATTTTAAAATAACTTTTTAAAAAACTGTTTTTATTTCAACTGTATTTTATTGGAAAAAACTCAGGTGCATTGAGCATTCCTTAAAAACAATCTGGTTTAAATGATTCCTGCATGTAATTTAAACATACATATTAAAGTCTACAGTATTTTAAAACTGAATTCATTCCCCCTCCCTAACTTGTTTATTTTTTGATTTTTTTATTTTCTTAACGTATATCAATACATAAAAAGAATATAAAACAGAACAACCTAAAATAAACAGAGCAAAGTAAAATAAAGTAAGCAAAGTTGCTAAGGGAATTTTAAACAAATGCAGCCTATATATTCAATCCCCCAAAACCAACTGTCCATTTTTCAATGCTCTGTGAGAGTTTAACAGAAAAAAAAATAACCTTTGCAACAATAAACCCTCCCAAACTTGTTTAGTTAGTCTGCATTTCTGCATGCAAACCAGAGGGGCAAAAATGTGACAGCTGAGGTCAAGAATATTTATTTAACTCCTATGCTGTCGCATAGCCCAGAGGTTCTCTAGGCAGTTTACAGCCTCCTCCTCCTCCTCCTCTCAGTCTTATCCCCACAACAACAACCCTTTGAGGTAGGTTGGGCTGAGAGTCTGACTGGCCCAAAGTCACCCACTTGGCTCCATGACTGAATGGGGATTAGAACCCAAAGCACCTGAATCCCAGTCCTGCTCACTGAACCGCTATACCACACTGGCGCTCTCTAGGTATAACACAGTAGGACTGCAGTCCTACACTCGTATACCTAGAAGTAGGCCCACTGAAGAAAGTGGGACTGTGGTCCGGGTAGACACATACATGAGGTTGCACTGGAGATCAATAAATGGGGCTGTTCACACACAACCACAACTTTGCAAGCCAATGAGTTGCCAGGGAAGTGAGGCACGCTGCCTGTGGCACACCCAGTGTGATTTGTTGCTGAGTTAGCGGCTAACCTTTTCAGTTCCTGAGCAACCTGGCATGCTGGGTTCACATGTCATACTGAGCAACCTGCAAAAGAGCTGGTCATTGGCTATGCAGCGAAAGCTAAAGAAGGTCTGTTGTAGGCAGCATGGCCATGCTCCTCCAACAACTGATCAGTTTTTTTAATTGATGGGTTGCTATGTGTGAACCAGGTTGTAGAATGCATTATTGTGCAAACTAGGAATATTTATCCCTTATCAAGCAAAGAGCCTATAAACACTGCATTTTCTTGCTTTTTTAACTTTCACACAGCTTAATATCCTGCGACTCTTATGTGGCACACGGTTCATCTAATAGTTTTAAAACAATTCAAACAAATTTTGGAACTCATTTAATTAAAATTATTACAACAGAGATAAAGCAGAGATGTGTCATAGCCTAGTTTAACTCCAGGAAGGCTTGTGTAAAGAAGTACGTTTACAGGAGGTGTTTAAAGCTTTGTAAGTTCTGGAAACATCAGATAAGTGATTTTGCTCAGTGTCTTTAACATGTAGAGATGCCAAGCAAATTAGTTTTATATTTGTTCCCTTAGGCAAGTATGCATTTTCTAGTGTAAGAGGCCTATAGACTGCATGACAAGATGTTTCTGTTTAGCTATTCTTAGATGTTTTGTTTGATATAGCACCCCAAAATTGGTCTTCATATTCAGGAAGTAAAATTTATCAAGTTGGAAACTCTTTAAATTAGTAATTTAAATTGACCTGTTTTCTTCCATCTGGAAAATAAAAGAAATGTATTAAAGCAAGGAATGTTGCCTTGATTAAATATTCCTAATTAAAGATGCTTCTGATAACTCCCTGAAATTGTATGACATATCATACAATATCATACAATTATTGTATGACTTATCATACAATTTCCTTAGCCACCTAGGAAGGCCTCTGCAGTTATAGGTGGTCTATGAATACATGTATAAATAGTAAATAAATAATCTGGGCAAAGTATGCACATTTTGAAAATAAATCATTGTGTTTGATATCTAGGAGAAACAGAAAAGAAGAGGAGCTCATCCTTGAATAGAATGAGCAGTAAACCCCAGTCTTCTCCTGAATTAGAAAGTGTGCACAATGAAGAAAAAACAGGTGGATAATTATTAACTCCCTCCAGTACCCTTTCTAAGTAATATGCAGAGAGAGAAATTTGGGCTAAGGTTCTTTTTCATATTTAGAGAAATTGCAATGATTTGCTTGTTGAAATATCCAATACTGCCCTTGAAATTCAATAACATACTAGTGACAGAATCGTTTGGGTCTAAATCAGTATAAATCTGTTGATTTCTTCTATGCCAGAGTCTTGCTCTATGCATAGAACTTTACAGGTATATCATGCCATGACATGGTAATCCCTCTAATTTAAGCGAATCTAGTCCTTCTGATGGATTAGGTTCTGTTCATCAATGTCATTTTCTCTACTGCTCTGTTAAAGGCAAAGTGGCTTCATTTATCAAACCATGATTTTAGTAGGATGAAACTGGCAGATACACATCTCTCTGTTTCTTACACTTCTACCTTTCTAATAAAATGGCACCCTTCTTAGCAGTTTGTAGCATGTCAGAATATTCATCATTATGTTTTTACATGAATCTGGTGTAAAATTTATTTGATCACTTCCGTGTTGTCAAGAAAGACTTGACTTTTGACTAACCACTTAAAATTGCAAGGTCTGTGTTGATGTACATGACTTACTGCTCTTAAATGACATGCATTTCTAGGAGAGAACTGCCACTAAGCTATCGTGGAATCTCTATTCCAGCTGCCATCTCAGCATTTTTCATGTTTTCTATCTGCATGTTGCTTGCTAAAGCCAAACAATGCAAATTGGTGGGATTGCATTGTTTTTGCCTTGCACTAATAATGTGGTCTTCTCTTTATAACCAGACTTATTGGTGCAAGTACAGAATTGCTTTAGGTGATGTGCACAGTGGCCAGAACATTGCAGTCATGCAGAGCAGTGGGAGCTTTCAAATGGAGCTTTCTCTGCTATAAGCAGGTGGTCATTCTGTGAACTTGTGCAGCGCAAGCTGTGTGGCTTGTACCATGCTCTCTCTCCATGCCAGTGCCCTTCCTTATGAATCTGGTATTGCTTGTTACGGCCCAGCTCTCCTTTCGTCCATCCGTCCGTCCTTCCTTCCTTCTGCTAAGCTGCTTGTTTCATTCTTGGTCTTTATTTTGTATCCTTTTTGGTTTGTTCTCATCATTCAGCTCGTCGCTCCCAGTTCAACCCGTTGGACAGTAACGTGATCAGTCGCCTGCTGGCCCCCACCCAGGCCTCCCTAGCTAGGAGTAAAAGTGCTGCCACACTGTCGGCTGATGGCAAAGATCCCTCAGGTAACAGGCCTGCAGTAGAAGCGCAAGCACGACAGGCAGGGGTTCCCTCTTCGGGACAGCACTACCGGGTGGGCCACTTCACTAAGTGCACAACGGTACTGGTAATACTAACCAAGGTAAACAGAGTGCGTCCATACCTTTCAGGTCCTGCCCTCATTGACCCCAGGGCACCTGTTAGAATGTGTTGTAGAAACAGTCCAGCTCTTCTTTCCACAGCTTGGTTCTAAGATTTCTTATGTCACCAGATGCTTGGACTTGATCATATTATTGCACTGCATGTGTGTACCGCCTCCTTCCTCTTGCAAGGAACCCAAGGTGACTCACAAGGTTCTCCTCCCATCTGTCAGCACAAGGACCATCCTGTGTGGCGGTTGGGCTGAGGGCCAGTGCCTGGCCTGAGGTCACCCAGGGAGCTTTGGGGCTGAGTGGGGAGTAGAGCCCAGATCTCCTGAGTCCCAGCCCAGCATTCTTAACCCCTGCTCTGTTGCCTTCACACTGCAGGAGGCTGCAGGCAAGACACATTAGTGCCAATCAAAGATGAGAGTACTATGCTTTTTCCATAACCTGTGCCTGGATTTAACCCTTGTTAAATCACCCAGGAATGGAATTTTTGATACGTGCTAGTAAGACCCATGTAGCTTGCCATGCCTACATGGTGGTAGATAGCTTTGGTGCCATAGGAAACTCTTAGCTGGAGCCCCCTTCCTGTCATGTTTTTTGCTTGTTGTATTGCATCCCAACTTCGGTTACTGTGCCATTTTTTTAAACAAAACCCCACCGGCAATTGGTCCATCAGTTCTTTTGACAGAATTTCCTCACTGTTGTTTTTGCTTTGTTCAATTATGACACATGTTTGCATTTGCACACAGTGGTTTCTTAGTCACCTGAACCATGCACAACAGAGATATTTAAAGCAGCCCTAATAAAATGTTCAAAATATTTTTCTTCTCAAGAGCTTTCAGAACAAAAGCCCAGTTCAGTAAATTAAGGAGAGCCCCTGCCTCCTGGCTTACAATACTTGGACATCATCATGCAGTGCATCTTTTTCATAAAAGATATGAAGAAAAGCTATATTACCCAAAGTGTACATTCATTATGCCTGTAGAATTTGCCATAAATGTTGCCTTTTTTTGTTTATGTTTATCCTAGGATGAAAAGGGTTTGCAGGGGAAATAGTTCATTTTTAGCTTTAGCAGCCTGCTTCTTTCACGGTCTTATTATTCTTGTGGTGGCCATCTCCATGATCCCTTGCAGTGTAAACCTCCCAGGTTGCTCTTTGGTTTGATTCCTAACAAATGCTGTCTCTTCTTTCCTTCTTTTCTTTGTCTTTTCTCCCCACCCATTTTCCCCTTTTTCCACACCACGCCCTTGGTGATCGGTTTGTCTTGTCAAATTCCTAACTTTATAGAATCTCCCCTCTGTCCTCGTTCAGCTTCCAGCAGTTCCATCAGTTCCCCAGTCCATGCTCCCAAAGTGCCCATGCGCAGTCGCAGCATCGACAGATTGAAGCCGGCTACCTCTTCATCAGAAAATGTTTCTCTGGAATCTGCACAGGTTGGTTGACTCAGCTGTGATCCAGACAGATGAGTCCTGTTAAAAAATAATAGGGTGAATTAGCATGACAGGGCAGCCCAGCCTGTGAATAAGCCAAAGTCCTTTGTGAAGCAGCTTGAGGGTCAAACTGAGGACTGCGTTGGACAACCTTTCCCACTGCTACTGTGATCATGACCACTTGCTCAGTCACTGTAGCTTTTCTTACCCTTTTCCCTGCTGGAGGCCACTTTTTGCTGTTTCCAGTGACAGCCCTTTCAAAGTGCCCAAGTGGCACTTTGGAGACGCTATCACTGGCTCACCTGTATGTGTTCCAATGTTCTTTGTGGTGCACAGGTCCACCACTCCAACCATCCCCAGTGTGCAGCCTTCCTTCATCGGTGCCTTAGATCAAGTCTCCCATGAGGTACAGGAAGCCCCCTCCATGGCCAGATTGCTTTTTTGCTTCTAATTCCCCAGGTGTCAGATGGGGATCTGCAAGGGAAAGCTGTGAGGATCTTTGTTCGTGAAAGGGACGGCTTGTGTATCACCACCTCTCCTCAGCTGCCACAGCTCAGGCTTCCTTTTTAAACAGAGATTTTGACAAAGCTAATCCAGTTGCTTTTGTCAGGAATGTATGCATTTTTCATAGCCACGATTGCAGTGCAACTGTACGTTCTGACCACCTGCCTTCTATTGCTGGGGTCTTGTATACCTTAATTGTGACCTAATGAGCATGTGTGTGTTCTTTCCCAGAAATCCGAGAACGCAAAGCAGTCCCCTTCTTGTGCAGGGCGACGTGCTCCTTCCCCATCATTGTCGGCTCCCAGGCGCTCACCCTCTCCCGCCCACGTGGGAAAACGCCCTCCATCTCCAGCAGCAATAAGGTTTTTATCCAGCCCAAATCTTTGCTGTTTCTTAATTGTACTCAAAATAGGTTTTCTCTGTTGCTAGCCTTGAACCCAGACAGAGGAATGATTTCTGTCACTTCTCTTCCCCTTTCTCCCTCTTACAAAGGAGAAAAAAAAAACTTGGCCAGGGAACTGAATGAGAGGTAGTTCCCACTTCCTTCGTACAGCCAGTCTATTGTGTGCATGGGTTTACCTCCTGGGCTCCTATTGTTGAATGGCGCTTAAGGTTATTAGAGAACATTTGGGTACCTTAAGGAAAGAATTAGGAGCAGGGAGGAAAGAGGAAGCATATTTAGGAGAGGTTGAGGCTGTTGAGAGGCAATAGGACAGACTTTAAATTGGGAACAGTGAGTATGTGATAGTGGAGGGGCTAACATGGAAATTTTGGCTGGATTGCAATGGGTGGGGTCTGGTAGAACAAAAAGAGAGGGTATGCATTGGAATATTGGAATGTGAGCCTTTCTGTCTGGAAAATCCACTCAGTGCTGCCATACCGTAATTTGATGAAACCTAAAGCGCAGCTAGTTCTGAGCAAAGATAATTCTGGTAAGTGAGCTCTGCCATTCACCTGAATATAGTCACACTTGCAATCTCTTTGTTGTGGGGAACTTAAAAAGATGGGTATAGCCAGAAATAGTCCATTGCATGCTTCGGTCTTGCAGCACAGACCTAATAGACACCCCTTTTTCGACAGACAAAAGCCTCGCCAAACTTCACCAAATGTCTTAAGGCAACGGCCACCATCTCCTATTACAGTTTCTAAACCAGCACCAATACAGCGCCCATCGCTCACCCCGAATGTCCTTAACGTTACCAAAAAGAAAACAGAGATGGAGTGCCGACCAAAGGAGAAGGCTGGTGACCCAGCAAGGCCGGAGCCTGGGGCTGCATCGGAGAGAGAAACTGCAGCAGCCTCTGCAAAGACCAAAGAAGGTAAGAGAGCTTGCTTGACAGGAGATCTGCGTGAGTGTCACCCTCCCTCCCTCCCCATTTCTGTCATAATGAACTCAAAGCTTTACCTAATTGGGGTGGGTGCAACTGGAGTATTACAGGCAGCCCACAGGGTGTCTCTGCAAACCAGGGTGGCTTGGCTGATGTGTGAGCAGCACCTGTACTCAAGGCACTTTTGAGATGATTTCTGTTGTGATGGTTGAACTTCTGGGAATTCTCCTGGATAAGCCATTAAATATGTATTATGCTATTACGGTTTCATTTATTTTATCAGCAAATGTCAGTTTCAGTCTATAAACAAAAATGAATACAGATACTTAATAACTTTCACATTAAGCATAATGGCTGATGCATAAAATGGTTGATGCATCATCAGAGTGACTGATTAAACATAAATATACTTTGACTTCATATGACTTGCCTGTTCAGGTATTTGTGTGAGCAGTGGACAAAATTATGGCTTTTGATATTTATTTTCAGCCTTGATTGTCATTAAATTAGTTTTGAACTCTAAATTCCATTGGTGGTTAAAATATGTATTAGAAAAAACTTTTCCAGCGACTCTTCAAGCACTAAACTTGGTAGCTCAGAAATAGTTGGTTCCAGATAGCTGCATTACAAGACATGTATTACATTGTGTAGTGACAAAGAGACCTATCAAACCTCTGGCAATAAAAACACTGGTATACAAAAAATATAGTTCATCCAGAAAGAAAGAGTTTATTGTGTTGAAAAGATAGAAGAACTGACAGGTTTGCATTTGTTAGATTTTGTTGGAATTTTGGTTTCCCATGTCAGGTACCTGTAGAAGTGTGCCGATAGATGCTTCTGTAAAAATAAATGCATGGTTTCATTAATACTGGAGATAAGGAGGAGACTGTTTCAGAGGCATGCTAGTTTTGCTGTGTGTGTAGTTGCACAGGGAGTGAATAGTAACCTTTCAGTTACCACGGAAAAAACTAAGGTGTCGCAGGTTGAATGCATCCATCATCTCCCCTCCTTGCCCCTGCACACAATGAGCACACCCTCTATCGCTCTGAGCAGGATGGACACCCTCTTGTCATCTCCGGAAAAGAGACATTTCAGAGGAAGTGCCCTGCGCACTTCTCTCTCTGGAGAAGGACATAGGGGAAACCTTAGCAGAAAAAGAGCTTTGACCCAGGCACCTGGTGGAGGAATCTTTCAGCACGCAGCCACAGGTAAGTGGGTTGCTTGGTTAGTACATTAGATGTAAAGTGCATGTGAGGAAGCCTGGCAAAGCAAGTCGCTTCCCTGTTAATACTTTCAACTGGTTGGCATGTGACTAGTCCCTCTAAGGCACAACAGATGTTCCTGTTACTCACCTGTTAGTGCATCTTAGATCTTGAGTAGAACGGGGGTGGGCAGAAGGTAGACAGACCTACTGCTAGATCTCAAGACAAGTTCAAGTAGATAAGCAAGGATTTTTGACTCCCGAATAAAAAGTCTCCCCACCCTAGCATCCCACACGTACCTGCCCCAAAATCAGGTCACTGAAAAAGAACACTGGGGGAAAATCAAGTCTGGATTTGTGTGCAAAAGGATTAGTGAACTTGGTTCTGATACTGATCGCAGATTTCTTGGCTGCACATCCACTTGTAAATCCATAGCATATGTCTGCTCACTCAGCCCATTGTTTTGCATTTGGCTCTACGCAGTGCTCAAGTAAAGAAGCAGATTGGATGTGGCGAACCTGAAGTCTGCCCACCCCTAGTGTAGAGCATGCTCAGTGTTAAAATGGCGGCTAGCTGAATTTGACAGCATGTTGCATTCTGCACATACGTGCCTGTGGCTTCAGTCCCGCATGTTTTCCTTTACAGAGTCACCGGTATCCTCCACATTTCTACCTGAGCTGCCATCCTCCATCTTGAACCCCTCGCCTTGTGCTGCCTCACCTTTCTGCTCTCAGGATTTTCAGCCAGCCTCCTCTGTTGCAAGAAAGATACTTTTCGGATATGATCCGATGTCTCGTCTGGGTGCTTCCTCTCCCTCTGGCTCTCCTATCCCTTTCCACACTGACCTCCTGGGCCGGGCTTCCTCCCCAAGCATGCCTCCATCTCGCCCTAGTCTGCAGAATGCTGGGAGGGGAACCAGGAGCAGCTTTCCACCTAACTTTCCTGTGGAGGCTGCCAGGCAGGGTGACGGACAAGGCGCCATCCCGCTCCGGTGCTTTAGCTTTCCATCACCTCAGAGGACTGGCCCAGGCTCTGTGCATGCGTCTCATTTCTCTTACAGTGGACGGCTGTCAAATAATCAGCCCATGGCGATGATGGCAGATCCCTTTGTCCTGGATAAGTTGCTTCACACCTTCCAAGCCATGAGGTGCAGTGTTGACAACATAAGCCAGGAGCTGAGAGTGCTGAACACCCACCTAGCCGATCTCTCGCGCCACTTTAGCACTCTGTCCCCTCTTGGCTATCTCTCTCGCCTGCAGCAAGATGGCCCATGGTATTCCTACTGAGGAGGCAGGCAGAACTGCAGTAGTTCAGGTGCACAGCCTCCTCCTTTCCAGGTTAGAGTAAATGCGTGGACCTGTCTACACCTGGCATCTCTTTGGAGAGCAAGCTGCCTGGTTTATTGATGAGGTACTCCACTTGCCAGGCTGCTTCACACCAGGCGAGCAGAAGGGAGATGATAATAGAGGCCGCAGCAGCTCCCTCATACAGGGGAATGCTTGGTTTCTCGTATTAATAGGAGGGCTGGTCTTAATAGACCTGAATCTCTGCATTGCTGGAGCATTTTAAGAAAAGCATAAATTATCTTTTTTTTTTTCAAAGTGTGTGACTCACTTTTTTCATTTAAATAAAAGTCTCAAGCCTTTGGCAATAAATACATCTTTTCAAATATAGCGAACTGTCATTATTTAGTAGGGGCAGCCATGCATCAGTGCAGGGTATCTGGGGGCCATAGGCTTTTCTGGAGAATCAGCGGCGGGCAGCTGGGTCTCCATGCTCAGCACACCCTCTCATGCCTTGCAGCCAGCGCAGAAAGAACCGCACTGGCTGTATCTCCAAACAGCCTCGGAGCAGGTGTTTCAGAGATGCTTCAGGGGCGAGGAAAGGAGGAGGCGCATGTGGCCAAGATGTACAGTCCTGGTGGCACCTCAGCCGCCTCCCTTCCTGCACCTGCATGTCAGAGAAGACTGCCAGTATCAGCTGGTTTGCAGCATAGGAGATGCCCAGAGGCAACCTCACCCATGTGCTCCTCCTGCCCTGCATAGGATGCCTGCAGCTCTTTGAATTTGGAGGGTGCGGGTGTTCCATTGGATTGCATCCAAGTGTCTTAAATAGTAAGATAATTGCAGTAGTGTTCCTTTGTTTCAGGCAAAATCCTGAATGTTATCTGAATGTTAGCCCTGCATGAGTGGAATTCAGCTTGCATATTGTTTAATGCCTTGTATAGGATCATTATTTGTGCCTTTTTAATTATCTGTATAGGCCATCAGTCCAAGAAGGACAAGAAGCCCCAGGCTTCCATAGTAATGCAACAAGTTACTTCACTGCCTCAAATACCCGAAGAATGGGAAGGGCAGTTTAATGAAGAGCAATGCATGTATTCTTGGGTATCAGAGACAACTGTAGTGTGCAAGGAACTGAAGTAGTGAAAAAGAGAAGTGATGCAAAGTCAAGGAGTATTTCCAAGAGATAAGAACCCCTTTCTTCCTCCTCCCAAAAAGTTTAAATCAGAAAAGTTCCCTTCCTAAAACCTGGCACTGCAAGGTTTGCACCACTGCTTAATCCTGCTCATTAATAGTTACCCGCATTCATAGACACCCCACCACTTGCATTTATGCGTTGGTAAATGCTACCTTTTGGAGGTAGTTGGCTCAGGTTATCTTATTTTGCCTATTAATGTAATGGGTGCAGGGGATATGTGACTGATGTCCCTCCTGACTGAGACAGATGAGGTCAGAAAACCCTTGGCTGACAGTCGTAACAGGATAAACTGTCTAATGCAAGAATATTTGAAAGGTTTTGCCTGAACAGATTCTGGCCTCTCGCTCTGTCTTCCACCCAAGTCCAGAAGACGCATTGGCTGGGAAGCATCCCAGCCTGGGGTTTTTTCAAGATGCAGTACACAAACAAAATTAGCTTTCAGCACACATTTTCATGAGAATGCCAACAAAAAAGATGCACAAAGCAAAGCTTTTGCTTGAATAGACTACCTAAAACTGCTGCTCAGGTAAACCAAAATTATGGCCGCAGGTACTGCTCCAAGCAAAACTGAATTCTATCTCTCATTTAAGAAAGAGCAGTTTCAAAGGCTCTGCCTCTCAGAATATTCATACTTCTTTCTTCTGCCATGCCCATGGTGTGGCAGCAGAGAAATGTAAATCTTATTAACATATATGACCTTTCAAGAGAAGTCAATTCATAGCACAATTGAAGTAACAGTAGTTCGCTGTTCTAAATTCCACGTATAAGCAAACAGAGCTGGATAGGCTGTATTCAGTGTTAACTCTCTTCAAAATCCAATTACCACTGTGATCACATTAGAGTAAGTGTCTGAGTGAAATGCCAACTCTTTCACCGTTTTTGCACGCTGAGTTGATATGTGTGAGTACTGAACATCCTGAAGTCTTGGCACATCCTGTGACCTTGCACTCTAAGTCTTAGAGGTACCATCAGCACTGTTTTGAGGTGTGTCACTACAGAAAACACACTTTTTTGTGCTATTGCTGTCGGAGCAATGTTGTGCATCTAGACTATGCCTCACCTCTGAAAATCCAGTCCATTACTCTTGCTGTTCCACATGTACATTTTTGAGTTTTGACCTTTTTCTGTGGGAAGAATGCAATTTTGTTCACATGAGGTGTTGTATATTTCTAAAATCATCTTCGTGGAGTCTTTAATGCCATGGAGTTGCTTGGTTTGAATGCCATACCAGACCATTGACACTGCAAGATGTACTACTCAAAAGTAGCAGGTTAAAGGGGTATTAAAAAGAAATTAGGTTTGCAATATGTATATGCCATGTTTGCAGTGAAGTTTCAAGGAAGAGGACAGACCGAAAACTGTTACAAGTGTTGCTCTAATATATCTGGCTTGCATATATAGTTTAAAAAATGGATGTTTAGCTCACTTCTGAACACAAGTCCAGTGCAAGTTGGTGGCATCAGTTCATGTGCATTTTGTGTTAGATCTGAATCCTTTCTCCGAGACTGCTGTGCTGTTCTAGTCCAGCGTGGTGTCATGTCAAACAATATGCTGACCTGGTGGGCTGCAACTAATCGACATCCTGCTTCATGCAATGCAACAATTTGCCTCTGATTTTCACAAATATGGCAGTTGTCAGGGTATCCTTAGTTGCAGCATTTATTCTGTGAATTTCTTATTCTGAAATCCATTCCATAAGAAAGGAGTGACTGAATTTGAGTCTTGAAAGCAAAATATTGTTAGGAACTATGAACTAAAAGCACAACTACTTTGATGCTCAATTTTGATGCTGACCGGGGTTCAGACAGCACAGTAACCTACACGCAAGGGCTCAGTGTGGGTTCTTGTTGAAATATGGGTTTTCATGTTATCTGAACACAGCTGAGAGGGTGCAAACTGTTGGAGAAGAACCAACAGTTCACAACCCGACAGCAATGAGTTCTCTTCAAGCATTGTTCATGGTGAAAAAGCCAGGGTTAGCAAGCCATGGCTTGTTAGCACAGGTGGCTTCAAACAGCATGATAACCTATGTTTCAACACCACCCCTTGAGTGTGGGTTGTTGGATTATCAGAACACAATCACTGTCAAGCTCACCATGAGGTTGTCCCTGTTTGTAAGAGTAAGAACTGACTTTGCAGAGGATATGGAAAGTTTTTCATGAACCTGGACATAATTGCATGCTACCTTGGAGTTTCGACAGTGCCTGAAATGCACTAGTACACACATTTGGGCCAACATAACTGGCAAGCTGTTACGGAGCCCTTATACCATAAGAATTTCCCATATAGCCCATATTGTATAAATCTGGACTAATAGAAGAGTACAGGTTCCAGTGGCTGAAAGGAGTTGAATGAAGAAGTACATACTCTTGTCTGTCTTCCGCTAATTCTTCCAAAAACCCTTTTTCCAGATGCTAGTAGCAAGACTGTTCCGGGGACCACAACAGCTGAAGAAGCAGCAAAAATCTTGGCAGAGAAACGGCGTCTTGCAAGAGAGCAGCGAGAACGTGAAGGCCAAGAAAGAGTTCAAAGAGAAGAAGAGGAAAGGTAAACCAATCGGGGCAGTCTCTCTTAAGGTTGATAATATAGTTAAGCTCACATATGTGTTTCAGAACTTTCTTCTCATAAGGTGGGAAGGGTACACTATGATCCTTTGCTAGTGCAAACTGAAGAAAATCCTCCATTAGGCTGGGGTATGCTGGGAGTTGGAGGCTTTTTTTATTTTTATGTTATTTTTGCCTAAATGCACATGGGGTTGTGCCTGTAATTAACTAGCAGTAGATTCAGAACAGGCACACAGTACTTATATAATTAAAGGTGCATCCTGTGCAATTTTAGACAGAAAAAGTTCTCTAATTCCCAGCATGCCCCAGACAATTCTGCATAAGGAGGCTCTGAGATGCAAGGGCTGAACTTAAATTTTTTACTGTTGGACTTAAATCCATTGCCTTGCCATAGCAAGAAAAGGGCAGTAAGCTAATTAAGGCTCTAAGTGAATTGCTTTCCTCCAGAAGAGGCTGCCTGACAGCTTCACCTTCTCTTTGTTTCAGGTCCCTCTGCCTGCATACTACAAAAAAATACAGCGGGTTTTTTCCCTAGGGGAGGAACTTTCATTTGTGGTACCCAAGTTTGAAATAGCCTCTTAAGAAAAGTCTGCCTGGAGCCACTGTTGCTTTCTTTAGAGGGATAGTTTTATTCCATCTGGCCACCTAAAAGTAGCAACAGCACGAAGAAGGGATTTTTAGCACAATTTAGAATCTCCTATGGCTTTGATTTGAGTTTTCCTACTTTCTTTTGATCTAATTTGATGGCAAGGACATGACTGCACGCTGGAAATAAAGTAACTGGCACCTGAGAACTTTCTTCTTGAATATGCTTGAGTGCCAGAGTGTAAAAGAAAGGAGCTGATTTGTGGTTGTGTTTTAATTTGGAACCCTTAGAATCAGAAAAGAAGAAATGGCCAAGAGAGCTCTTGAGGAGCAGGCTCAGATGAAAGCAGCGCTCCAAGAACTGGAAGAAGAAAGGAGAGCGGAAGAGGAAGAACAGCAAAAACTGGCAGCGAAGGAACGAGTTCGGAAGGAGCAGGAGGAACAAGAGAAACTGGCTGAGCTTCAGTTACAGGTTTGGTCTCTGAATCAGGCAAGACTAGAGAAATGGATGCAGAGAAGCCAGATATTTTAAAAATCTGCATTCCAAGAATTCTAGCAATCTGCAAAGGCTTTCTTTTGGATTCTAATTCAGCACCAGCAGCCTTTCCCACACTGGGGCGTCCTGGTCTTGCTGGACGACAGCTCCCATGATTGCCAGCCAATGAGAGTTGGCTCCCTGTCTAGAGTCCAGCAGATAGGGAGGCTCCGGACAGGGAGCTCCTTGCTCCGTGCTTCTGCGCTCCTTTAGGTCGGTCTTCTGTTGAACTTTTACGTTACGCTCCTCCTTTAACACATCGACCCAGCAGGCAGTGTTACTTGTTATAAATATATCTATGGTTGGATGTGATCTTTAATAACTTTGTTGCAGGCCCCTCCTGCAGTGGGCATTTTCATTTTGGCACCAGGGCTTTCTGATGGAAGGTTCTCTTTCTCGTTTAAGCGAGAGGAGGCTGAAATGAAAGCTCTAGAAGAGGCTGAGAGGCAGCGGCAGGAGCGAGAGCGGATTATGCAGCAGAACATGCAAGAACGGATGGAAAGGAAAAAGGTACCCGCCCTCTGTTCTCATCCTCCCATTCCAGACAAGGCCTGAAGGTGCTGTGGGGAAAAACGGAGTATGCCACTGCATGACTACAACCCTGGTTGTGAGGCTAGGATTTGCGCTCTTTTAAATATACTGTTCTCTTTGTGCTGTATCCCAAAGGAAACCTTTAACAGTTCTGCTCCGTTTGATCTAATTTATTACGTGTTTTTCTGGCATTTCCTCCAAGGAGGATAGAGAAACATACCTGGTTGCCCTCCACCGTTTTATTCTTACAAAGGCCTTGTGAGGTATGCTAGGGGAGGGATGGCCAAGGGCATTCCCGTTTGCTCCTGAAGCTGAGCCGAGGTTCAAACCCAGCTCCCCCCAATTAAGCTCTGCCTGTCTTCTTCAAGTTGGTGCCCTCCAGGGAACTGGTCTGCAAGTCCCAGTACATCTGGAGCCCCCACAGTGGGGAAGGCCACCCACAGTTCCACACCAGGTTTCTGCAAACAAGGCGGAAGCAGGGGGTGAAAAAGCCAGAACTGAATATTGGTGCTACCCAAGTGACAATACCATCATTCACACAGAGAATTGAAGAAATAATGAAGAGGACCCGGAAGGCAGAGCAGAATGAAGCCAAGGTAAGCATCTTCCAACTCCTGATACAGCATTTCTTGCCACCGGAGAGGCACCCCGAGGTAGGGAACCATCACAGTCTGTGGCTGATGTGGTGTTTGCCCATTTCTTGCCACTAACTCCTTCCACGTCTTTCAATACAGAATGAAGACAAGTCAAATGACGAGGATGAAGGTGCTGAAGAAGATGAGGAGCTGGGTCTCGAAAAGCAAGATCAACCTGGTAAGAGGCAACTCTTTGGCCAGCAGTTAAGTACCGAAGCCCAAGTAGTTCCTGCAGAGATAATTCCCACCAAGACTTGGCAAGATCAGAGGCCCTAGTTTGCTATGTCAAGTCGGAGACTAACTGATGGAAAGCAAACTAAGCACCTGTTTGATTTCCACCTGTACAGAATATGCTTGCATTAATTCTCCATAATCCTCCGATCTTGTGCCTCATAGTCATACTCCTTTTTGCCAATCCGGTATCTCCAATTTTAGCAAGCAGCTCTATTTCTTAATTACAGAAAAGGCAAAGTATGATGACTGCTCCTTAGAAGATGGTCCAAAGATGGTTTGCAATTTTGACTTATTAGAAGATGAGTCAAAAATGGAGGCAGATGATGTCTTTGTGAATGGCAATGAGCAAGAGGAGGCTGATCAGAGCAACAACAGTTTTGCTCAGACAATAGAAGACAGGTAGGTACTATGTGTCCAAAATACCTGGATATTGGGAGAGTTCTGTTGGGTCAGATTAATGGTCTATGTAACCCAGCATGCTGCTTCCCGTAGTAGTCTTCCAGGTGCCTCTGGGTACCTGAAAAGCAAGATTTAAAGGCACCTGTATGGTGGCCAGAGGTCCACTGCCCCTGAGTGCAAGGGCCCATTTAGTATGATGGCTAATCATTGCTATCAGAGCGTGTCCAGTCTTGTAGCTTTCATACATAATAAGTTGGCACACGCCTGTCAAAGGAATTATGTGCTGTAAGTATGCAGAGCAGCACAAGCTTAATGGCTAAATTAATTGCAGCCAAAGCCATTCCCAAACTGGGTTGCACTCGGTTCATGGATAAACGTTGGGATTTGGTCAGTGGGAGCCGCCGCGTCTTCTTTTGCAGAACAGAAGCTTGGGACAAACCTAGCACTACTTGAATGGGAAATGCGCTTAACAGTTTCCTTGTGCCAAACTGGGCCGACCGGCAGTTTGAAGCAAGCTTTGAATTCTGTCAGCATCATGAAATATTTGTGAGTCGTTCTGCATCTAAAAAAGAATGAGAAATACCCTGCTTATCCCAAAGCGGAATAAGACATCAATACAGCAGGTCTTGAAGATTTGGCCTTTTAAAAGTTTTAAAGGAAAGGTGCAGTGCCTTTCAGAATAGTGATTCTTGGATAACTGTACAATCCTTTTGGCTCCCTACTGGCTGAAGGAAGTGAAGGATAACATAGTTACATTTTGTTCCCAAATAGTCTGAGAAAGAAATGCAAAGGTCCAACTAGTTATGTCAGAAATACTGCCTCAGTGCATTAAGAAAAGTTAAGAATAGGTGCAGGGCACACACTTTCTTTACTGCTTTCTTTCCAGCCCTCCAGCAAAAGAAACATTTATGGGGAACTCTGAAATCTTGCATGTTAATGAAGCCAATCACCCCATTGGATTTATCTCTAACCTGAATGGAAAATCTTCAGCATGGAATTTTGAAGAGATCATTGACCTTGGCTTGCACCCCAAGTCAAGCAAGCGAAGTTCAGATAGCCTTGCTGCTGATCTATCAGCCCAAAACTTTAACGATGCTGCTGCAGTGCCCTCAAGTCCCAAGCTGGCATTTGAGGAGGAAAGTGCCATGAATTCCTTGACCAAACCAATAGAGGCTGCTTCAGGTAATGCACTTTGACGGCTGTCTCTCACGTCAAGTGGAAGCAAAATTAACAGCATTTCTGTGTCCAGCAAACCAAATACTCTCAGCTTAAACTTGGCAGAGCTGCATTGAATTCTGTTTTCCAGAACAAGGTTCACAGAAAAATGAAAGTCTTGGGGAAATGAAGGGTGGCCTGAGATAGGAGGGAAATTGGGGGCAGGGGAATTATTGGTGGGTTGTCACACCACCACCCCTCCCCGCATCTTGCTGCAACCCAGAAACAGTGCATGTCTCCCACCCCCCTTTCCACATACTGTTCAGTGAATTAACCTTTTCATTAGCGGGAACTGTAAGATTTGAGCGCAGTGGCCTTCTTGGTGGAGAGTGACTCAGCTCACTCTTAGGGTAGACTTGCTCCCTCAGCAATCTTATGATTACGTATGTGTGAGAGAGTCCTACATAGGACTGTGTTGCACACCCGTGTTTCTCTGTGGGGAGCGTGCATGCCCAGTTCACCGAATGGAATGAAATAGACTTGTGTGCACTACTAGTTCCATGTAGATTTTCCTGCACAGAAGCCTTTCCCCAGTGTGGCACTCACACCCCAACGCTCCTGCCAAACTGGTGCTGAGCCCTCAAACTAAATCCATGCATCCAGCCCTTAGTGTGGAGGGGACTAAGAAGTTCTCTCTCACTTCTGAGCAGAACTGTGAACGCTAGAAGCCCAGAACACTCCTGACGGTGCTCTAGGAATGCAGGGTTTCATCAAGTAATGAAGGCCTTGTTTTGAAAACAAAACAAACAGTAAAAAGCTGCTTGTGAACCTTTTGTCCACTTCCAAGTTTTGTGCAAAAAACAAAAGCACCTACCCTGCCTGATTCAGCACCTTGAAATCTTTTCAGGGAGACGCTATTTCTTTCTCAGATTTTGTTACTGGATCTCTAACAAGGTTTCCTTTTTAAAATAATGCCTGTTCTCCTTTTGATGAACTGTTCACTAAATTTGCCTGTGGGTCTTTAATCTTGCTGTTAGTGTGATAATACTGAGGCTTGTACTACAGACTTAATCAACTATTCCTACACACTTTGGAGCACAATAAGCAAAATAAAATGTGATAATCTAATGCTCATTAAAACCAAACCCATCTTTGTCATGTGTTACTAGCATTAGCCTCATTCATATGCTCGTCACAACAGAGAGATGAACTTAAATAATGGAAAATGCAGCCCACCTCTTCAGGCTTCATTTTTTTTGTCCAGTTGTTCCTAACTTAAAAAAAAAAAATACTGAGATTAAGCGAGACTCCTACCAGCACTTAAAAACAAGCACTCACTCCAGACAAGTGGAGAGTTAAACACGGTGACCCACGATGCCAGACTGCTCCATCTTAATGCTGCCCTTAAATGCAGCAGGGTGCAGGGGGGTGGCCATTGGGACTGGCGGTGCTGAAGCTCGCCCCCTCAGCATTGCGGTGTGGATGTGTGTGTGTTATAGGGAGTATGGCCACTGTGATAATCCCCCCCAACAACTCCTGTGCACACAGGTGTAGTGTGGTGTGAAGGCACGAGGTAAGATCCGGTTAAGAGTAAATGTTCAAAGGTTCTGGAATGAAGGCCAGCATGGCTGAGCAGCTCCCAAGGTCACATGCTTTAGAGGGAGACCAACTGAGTGCATCACCCCTCTTCATCTTAGCCCCTTTTATGTCATCTCAGCCTCTCGATGGATGGCCTTAGACAACGTCTTGATAAAGCTTAGAGAAAATAGAAACCAGTTGCATCCAGTCCACCACACCGGGCTGCCATGTAGCTTCCGTTCTGTTTTACGGGTCTCATGTGTACTCCAGATGAAGCTAGTGGCAGCCACAGGGACAGCCCCTGGCAGATTGTTTCCCTTGCGCCGTTGTCCTTAGTTGTGTGTTTCAGATGGTTTTCTAAAAAGACATTACCTGTATTTAAGTTGCTCTTCATATATGTAAGTATTATTTTTGTGTACATAAAACCAGTATTAGACCCATGAAGTTGTGTGTTTATTTTCTGTCCATGCTCATTATTCCGCATGTTCATCCCGGGCTTCGTCGTGCTGCTTGCCCCGGCCCTCTGCACTGAAGGCATGGTCTGCACCGAGCAGCCTCATTGTCCCAGTCCGCTACCCAGACTTCGTGCAGCATGAAGAAATGAGCACAGACCACTTCTGCCCTGCTGGGGTGGTGGCCTTGTGTTCCTTGCCCTGTGCTCACAGCTTGACGGCCGTCTTGGAGGAATTGCTTTCTCAAGAGATGGCTGCAGCCGCCAGCAGCCCGGTTAATTTGTCCTTGCAGCTGCCCCCCCCCCATTTTTTTCTAATATAGAGCACTTCTCCCCCATGCACCCCACCTGGCCTGGACTACAGCTCCCACTCGCCTCAGCCAGCATGGCTTATGGCAAGTGGCCACAAATCATGGATGTGCAATCCAGAAAGGATGGACAACATCAGCTCCCCAGTGTAGGTACTTGTGCTGCATCCCTCCCCTGTTCATTGCCATCCCGGTTGCATTAGAAAACCGAGCGGCTTCCCTTTTCATTGTGGTCCTCGTCTTCCATGCTCCCCAGAGTGCTTGCTGTTTCCAGGTGTTTAGAACAGTTAGAGTAGTGCCTTAGTTCAACAAACGATGTATTTTTGTACAATAGCGCTCGCTCATTCTGGCAGAGACAATCATTCTAACAAGCATGACGATGCTGATAATTTTTCTGTGCAAACTGATGCCTGTTGGATGCTTTGTTACCACTGTATGTAAATACATATGCACTGTGAAATAAACTTTGCAACTGAAAGCTGTCTGGCTGTGATAGGTTATTAGGTAAACCCTCCCCTCCACCCCCCAGTCTCCCCTGCTTTAAGAAGTTGCCTGAACAACTGCATCATTTTTAAAGGGAATGCAAAGAGACCCTGAAGCCCCTCTGCTAGCCCAAACGAGGGCTAGGCAAGCTTTCATTCACTGGGGGTGCATTCCTTGGTATCTATCAAAACCCACCTGTCAGCGGTGAGAATTGCCAAAGTCAACAGTGAGTGGGTCACGCAGCCCTCCACCTCTTTGTAGGGAGGAGCAGTGAAAGCAAGGCGGGGCAAACACAGAACATGGTTAAAAATAGAAGTGGGTCATGGTGTCTTAAAGGTCGGTCCTGATTCCAGAAACAGTTGAAAATAACTAAGATGAGCCAGGCATGGGTAGACTTTGAGGGATGATGAATAGTGTCAATGCCTCTGGTGTTGGAAAGGTATCGCAATAAAAACACAATATTGAATGCAAACAAGCAGTGGTTTCCTATTTATTAGAGAAAATGCTTTTGTAATATCATATAGGACTTACAACCATGCTCCCCCTTAATTCAATTTGCATATATGGCATTTTCTAATGCCCAGGCTTCACAAGCAAACGTGCAAAAATGATGAAATTCTACATTAAAAGCATATTTCAGTAGTGAAGTATAAAAGCTAGTAGTCAAGCAAACTGCTTCTGCAATCCAAAAAGTCAAAGGATGATGGTTGTTTCCTAAATGTACTTAAGGGTGGCTTATTCTAGGGTCAGCAGTGACCTCAAAGACAGATTAAAAGAAGCTATATATTATACATTTGCTGCAGTATTTCTTTAATAGCAGATTAAGAAAACAAGTGTAATGTTGCTAGTACCTGTATATAGATTACTTTGCATCCAAACCTTAAATCAAAAACCATGGGGAGACAAGTCAGACGGCCTTTTTTTTTTTTTTTTTAATCCCCTGTAACATTGCTCCTTGGTAAGATCAGAGATGTACATACAATTCCAGGCTGCACTGGAATTTTGGGCATTCTGCTCTACAAAATGTTTGCTTGCATTGAGTGAGTCTTCAGTGCTTTGCCTACCACAGGGCTGCTCCTGTCCCTTGCTCCCCCAACGATCAGAAGCTACACACAAACCTGCTCTTTTAAAGCCATGGGAAAAGACGGTTGAATGTATTTGCAAGGCAAACACTGTAAAATGAAGTTATGTAGGCATAACCCAGTGTCTGTAAACAGCTGGAAAGGAGGGGCTGTTTCTGGAAAACTGGGATCATTGCTGAAAAAGCAGGACAATTCTAACTTAGAAAGGGGAGAGACTGTTCCATCCTTGGTGGAACAGGAGTGTTTGAAAATCGGGCGCACAGGTAGTCATGCACTTATCTGGAAAGAAATGTTTTACATTTTGGTGGGTACCACAAGGGGGCTCTCGCAACTAAAAGACAGTCACAAAAAGGGGAATCAAAGATGGCATCGCTTTCCTTAAAAGTTTGATTTAAAATATGGTGTTCCTGATGAATGCTTAAAGCAGGCCTTAACTCGTTCCCAAGGTTTTGTTCATGGGAACAGCACCACAAAAGGAGAGCAGAGAGCTCCCATTAAAAGCAATCATGGGAAATCATCGTTGTTGTACTGCATTTCTAGGAGACAGCAACCTAATCAGCTGCTTGCTTTTACCTGTGCTCAGTTATCATCAAAATGTGCAGAATAGACAGTAGATATATTTGGATGTGCAAAGCTGTGCCCTAAATGTCTATGGGCTTTTATTTTGACATCACTTACAGAGTGAGAAAAGGACCTTACGTTTGTTAAGAAAGCAAGTGGGAGTGAGACCTTAAAATGCGAAATCCTACAGTCAGGCAGCTGGAATCCAAGCGCAAGGGTCGACATTTGCTCCATCGCACGGGGCTAGCCGGTGTCTGCTGTCCTCTCCCTTACAGCTTCTTAGCGCAGCTCGGGCAATAAATTTGCTCGACGTGGTAGACAAAAGGCTTGTTCGCCAGAGGAATTGAGCACTTCTTGCAGTTGAAGCAATATTCGTGCCAGGAGTGGCCTTCATGGCTGACCACATTGGTGCCTTTGCCAAAGCCTGTTGATAAAAGGGAATTGAAAAAGGCAAGGAGATCACGGAGCTGGTTAGCAGCCGTTTCTCCTGTCTCTTACGATCTAAGCCAAGCTACAAAAGCAAGACCCTTTCCAGGGTGTTAGAAACTGTAGAAACGCTGCTGTAACCCAGTAGACTCCACTTGAGGAGGCCCAGATTCAAACCCCATGAACTCAGCCAGCAGCACTTGCAACGTGCAATTGAGGGGCGTTTGATGTACCTTCTATGCACAGCCCTAATGCAGTGGCATCTGCACCCCTTCAATGGATGCAATTCAAGGCTGCTTAGTGTAGAAAAACAAAATGATGAGCCGGAATAGCATCGACATTTATAGCATGATGTGGAAGGGGTATCTCCTTCCCCCTAGTGCTACTGGGAATGGAGTCATTGGCAGTCGATTCAAGACAGAAAAAAGGCCAAGAGTGGAGAAAGTGACCTTCCAGATGTCAGTAAATCCAACTCCTATCAGCCCCAGCCCACCTGAAATACAGCCATCGCTAACACAAAAAAGTCAATCCTGTTTAACTCCTGTTTGAAATAAATGGGGCTCGTTCGTGTCAATGAACTGGTCCCACAGATTTCAAACAGTTCGTAGGCATGGCTAAGCCTTCTCTGGACGGGGCCAGTGCCTTCCAGCAGAGGATATTTCCAGGCTGTCTGGCTGCACATCCAGATGCCCGGATGCCATACGCTGTGTGGCAGAGCCAGATGGGACAGGCGCTTGCTCCCACCAAGCGCTGCCTTGTGCAATCTGGCCGGCCCACCTGTAATGGGGTTCTTGCAGCCGTTGCACTTCTTGGCAACGAAGGACTTGTAGCAATCCACACAGTAGAACTGATCCTCCACGGCCGTGAAGCGCTGTCCTCCCAGCTTCTTCGTGCAGGTGGCGCACACGAAGCACTCGGAGTGGTAGGGCTGATCCTGGTAGGACACTCCTCCGGAGGTGATCGCCTAGCACAGAGGAGTCGCCCAACTGTCAGAACACGGCACTCCGGCACTCCTGGACACACGACTCCCACCCAAAACGGCCTGCAGGTCATCCAGGAAGGGTTTGTTTCCACTACTTAAACCTCATTTCAGGGCCAGCACGTAATCTGGTTAATAAGGGTTGGGGTTAGAAAGACCGGCAGGTCCACGTTCTAACTAATGCGGCCATCATTTTCCCATCTGTAAAATGGGTCTGTTTAGCTATAGCTGCATGAGCTCTGATATCATTGCTAATACGGAGCAGGAGAACAATGGGAAACGGAGCACCAATCTGCCTTTCTGGATGCACAGAAAGCCTAAGAGCATCATTTTATTCTAATGGGAAGATACTGGAAGAGTCACGACCATCTGCAGTACTTACATTCTTGCACTTCACGCAGGTCTTGGCAAATTTATGCTCGTGGCAGGTGACACAGTAGATCTCATCACCCTTGGGAAAGAAGCTGGCTGTGCCAATCACCTGCTTGCACTGGCTGCAGGTGAAGCACTCCTTGTGCCAGATGGTCTTCTTATACTCCACATTCTGATCACCTGCAAACACACAAGAGGAGGGGATGGGGCCCACACTCAGGCCTGGAAGCCATTTGTTTTGGAAGACACCAAGGTGGCAAGATGCATCTGGGAGAACTGGAACGTGTGGTATGGTCACCTCGGACTGGGCCACCTCAGCGTCTTGATAGAGGGGTCCGTGTAGGTTTGCACGTTGCGAACACTGAAGATGACGAACCTGCCAGAGCCTTTCTCCTTGACATGCTGGCTTCACACAGGTTGGGAGATCTTGATGCGGAGAGCATATAAATATCTAGCCCCATCCATAGCATCACCACCTGCATGCGGAAGTGGCGCAGTCCACAGAGGACTGGGCCATCTGTGTGCGTGTGTTGCTGCACATGGAAACCAGCCCTACGTTTTGCCCGCATCGCAAGAGAAAATGTGCTGCCAGGCCAAGCGCTTGCCAGTGTGCCCAGGAGACAGCACCCCCTGCGGGCGAGGGCGGCCCGCCAGGCCCCTACCTGCCACGATGGGCTTCAGGCAGCCCTTGCAGTGCGGCGCCCCGTCGGCAGCGGTGCACTTGTTGCACCACACCTTGTTGTTCTCCTTCAGCATGAAAGGCTCGTTCACCAGGGAGGTGTAGCACTTGAAGCACCGGAAGCAGTTCTCATGCCAGTAGCGGTTCTTGAAGTGCAGCTCCTGCGGGGGGGAAGAGCAGCCGTGACCGCAGGGCCTTCCGAGGGGCAGCAGAAGCAGGACCTGGACCTGGCTCTGCCTCCCCGGCAAGGTCTTTGCCAGAGCCACGCGGTCCACAACCTCCGCAGGGTCAGAGCCCAGGAAAGGAAAGACCACAATGCTTCAAGGAAGCAGGCAGCTTGTAGGTCAGCCACTGGCTATTAGTGTATTGATACTGATATTGATATTATTGCACTGCATTTATATCCCACCTTTCTTTCTCTGGTGAGGAAGCTAAGGTGGCTTACATGGCTCCATTTTATCCTCACAACAGCCACCTGCAATGAGAGCGAGTGGCTGGCCCAAGGACACGCAGGGAGCTCCGTGGCCCAGTGAGGACTAGAACTAGGGTCTCCCAGGTCCCTAGTCCAACTTTCTGTCCTAGTGGTTAGGGGCTGCTGGCAGTTGTAGCCCAAACTATCAGGTGGCACCTGCAAGCCGTGAGGCACAATCTACTTCTGTTCATCACACACACTGCTGGCTGGGTCGAGCAACTGCTAAAGATGGTCTTTGCCCCACACTGGTTTTAGAGACAGCTCAAAATGCTCTTCAGAGCTGCATTTCAGTGCTGCGTTACCACTCTGGACAACCCTCACCATCCAGTTTTCACTGCCACTCCAGGGAAGAGGCACCATTACATCTAATGCCCCATCACACCCAAAACATCACACCCACCGGGTCCACCCCACTCCTCTTGCAGGACACCAGGTCACACCATCCCACGCAGAGGCTGCCCAGCTTCTTCCTGAATGTCTCCAGTGCGGGGGAGCCCCCACCTCTCCAGGCAGCTTCCTTTTGCTCTGACCGTATGGAAGCCTTTCCTGATGTCCAGCCTGGATCTGGGTTGTGGCAACTTGAGCTGATTATTCCGCATCCCGCACTCTGGCATCAGCAAGAGGAGCTCTTGACCACCCTCTTTGTGACTGCCCTTGAGGTGCTTACAGAGGGATCTCATGTGAGCAGGGTACATTTATTAATTTACGAATATCCCAGCCAAAAGATGCATCCAGCAATTAAATGTTACTCTGACTTCCCTTCTGTCATCTGCTAAAGGCATTTTCTTCAACAATTATGCTATGTCTTCCTTTGCCTGTTTGCTCTTTGTTCATGCCCTGCCACCCTCCTAGATTTGCCTGCAAGTCGTAGGTATTGAGTCCCTGCCGTGGCTTGTACAGCACCTAGCACAGCATGAACACTGCTAAATCACTGTCACTCGGGCCCTCAAGCCCCAGCTGTTTCTCACACAGGCGCTGAGCGTCCCCTACCTTGGAGTCGGCCCCGATCGGCTTCCGGCACTCTGCACAGGTGTTGGCACAGAACTTCTCAAAGCACTTGACGCAGCAGTGGCGGCCTTCCTTCTGCACATACTTCTTGCCGTGAAGCGGATCACGGCAGTAGTGGCAGTCGAAGCGCTCCGACATGGTGCCCACTGTGTAACTGCTGGGCCCTTTGGGGAAAGGGGGGCAAAACAAAGCAGGGAATTATGGCGCCGGCGCATGACGGCCCGTTGAAGGCCACGAGGACGTGGGCTCGCTTTCAGTCAGCCTCAGCCCAGAGCTTCTTCTCACAACCACTTGCCAAGCCTGAGCTCAGGCAGTCGCTATGTAGCTGCAGATCTGCGAGTTCACTAGTTTTGGGGAAATAATCGCTTTATTAGCTCCATTCAGTAAACGGCACTTCCGAAACACTTTCGGGCTCATTTTTATCCACTGGGTGCTACTTCGGTGAAGGCCAGCTCGCTCCCTCGCTTGGTTTAGGGTGGGGTTTATCTTAGGCTTCAGCGTCCATTCTGGTCCACCTAAAGGAGTTCTGGGCAGACTGGGGCAACAGGTCTAGCCAGAGCCGCGGTATCACGTGGAACATCGAAGTGCAGTGCTGCAAACTGACACGGAGCCTGGCCTTCAGGAAAGCAATAGTTAGGTGGCATTTTTCCCCTTGCAGGAGCAAGGGGTCTAAGAAACTTTCATGGCCCACAGGAAACCAACAGATGCAAAACGCAGATTAAATAGCTAGGCCGGCATCACCCGGCTAAATTTGAGCATGATCATGAATAGCGGGCTGCCCTTTCCGAAAAGGTGCCAGGGTGCAGCTAGGGTGGGACCGCGGGACCAGGCTTAGCCTCCTGCAAACAACCGCACCGGGGAGCGGTCGGCAATGAGAGCCTCAGAGACAAGCAGCATCACCCCACCCCAAGTAAGCTGGACAGTACAAGGTGGCACCCAAAAATCTCTTTCCTCTCTGTGCCAGGAATGATAAGGGAACAGAGAGCAGGGAACTTCATGAGTGCCAGAAACATGACAGGGCTGTTGCCCCCTCTGGAATTTTTGTCAGCATTAGCAGTGTAAAGGGGACCATCCAATCAAGTGTTCTGCTCACATGGCACTGAGTAAGAGCCACCGATGCCCAGCTCAAATTAAAATCCAGCACTGGTCACTATTTGCCACTCAGCCCTGTGGCATCACTAAGTTAAAAGGCACGGTATGGGTCACCTGAAGGAGTGCCTCCTTCTATATGTGCCTGCCTGCCCCTTAAGATCTGGGGCAGAGGCCCTTCTCCAGGAGCCCTCCCTGAAGGAGTTTAGGAGAGTGACTACCCAGAGAAGGGCCTTCTCTGTGGTGGCGCCCCGACTGTAGAATTCGCTCCCCAGAGAGGTTCACCTGGCACTGTTCCTTTATTCTTTTCAGCACCTGGCCGAAGCCATTTTATTTTCCTACTGTTTTAAGACCTGACTGTTTTAACTGGGGTTTTATTATTAACTAAATGTTAGGACACTGTGTGGGGCGGGGGGGGGCGTGTTTGTTTTTTACATTTTGTATTGTTAAACCGTCCCAAGACTTGGGTAATGGGACAGTCTACAAAAGTTGTAAATAAATAATAGGTTGCACAGGTGGGAAGGCAGACACGGGGACAGAAAAAGACATCCTAGAACATGCCTGTTCCGACCTCGTGGGAAAGACAAGCATCTTTGCCTTCCTTTTCTCAGAAATTCGGTGAAGCAACAGGGGCCTTACAATATCTTCCCAGGTATCTCCTGGTCCACCTCTGTAGTTACACAGTTCTAGACCCCAAATTCATGGTCTGATGTTAACCAGGTCTGGATAGCTGTGCACAAGCAACATTCCCTTTTGCCCTTCACCCCTGAGCAATACAAATTCTCCTACATTCTCCATTTGCTCAAATGCAGCCACTTCTGTGATTCTGAAGAAACCTACAGCAGAGACTCTGAGCATGTGCAGTGTGCATTTTTTACTCACTCAAAGTGTGCCTTCATCATGGCTATGGGAATCAGATGACATTTGCTTCTGTTCCCCTGGCCACCTGCCATCCCCCAAGTGCTCACATGAGAGGCGGGGAAACTTTGGTGCAATGTGGCATCTCCGGCTTGGCTCACTAAATTCCCAAGCTGCCTTGCACCTTTCTGACAGTCAGCTGGTTTGGAGCAGTACCTTGACAAGAGTATGAATTTGCCTCAAGTGCTGACTAAGAACCGGGAAACCATGGGCGGCTTGGGAAATAAATGAACAGGCAACATAAAATAAACGCTACAGCAAAAGCATCCAGGAGTCACACGGACTCCATGTACTTGGGCACATCAAAGACCCCAAACATTCATGTTTTGCAAGATGATTGTTGACATCAACTTCAAAGGTTAGCGCTGTGGAGCCAAGTTGAAAGATTACCCTGGCCAAGACAAGCTGCATCAAATCCAGTGAAGAGTCCTCTTTTCCCAAAGAAGTAAACAGGCTTGAAATATCTAAAAAATGCCACCAAAGGGCCAATTATGTGTTGCTTTGTAAACTCAAAGGGTTTGTTTGTCTGTAGCCATTTCCTCTGTTTTTAAGGCCCGCTGATTGTCCAGGATCCAAAGACACTTACTTCAGATCACGTGATGCTCTTCAATTTTAAGGCCCAACCCAGAGGGACAACCCGGCAATGGCGCTTAATGCACCATGTAAGAAAGAGAAACAGAGCACTGATCTCATGCCTTGATGAAAGAAAGGAGCTTAATGGGCCAATTCTATTCAAGGTGGAAGCCAGAAACTTCTGAGCTGCATTTTACACCTTTGCAGAGGAGGCTGACGTGGGAGACCCAAATCTTGTATGAAAGGGAGCTGGGTGCTTGGACTGGATAAAAGCAAACCAGGAATGCAGGAAGTTGCCCTACCATGAGTTAGAGTCAGAGGTGTGGTTAAGGGATGGCCCAGTATGGCTGGATCCCCAAATCTTGCGGAGGCCTTGTCTGCCCCCCACCAGAGGCACATAAAAGCATAGGGCCTGAGGGGCTTTGTTGCACCTGATTGCCCTGGGCGAGCAAGCTCATGGCCCATGAGCTTTTCTGTCTGAGTTTTTTCTCTGAAATCAAAAACCCGCTCCATGAGTTGCTTTTTACAAATACGGCTGGCCGTAGAGAATACATTCCTTCCAGGCTTAGAGCACGTGCAAATTACAACAAGCAGTTCCCTAGTGAGCTCCGTCACCCATCCAGCCCAATTTTCCCAGCCATGGCTGGCCGCAGCTCTCCAGGGTTCCAGGCAGGAATTCTGGAGATGCCGGGAATCAGACCTGGGACCCTCGGCATGCTCACCAGGGGCTGAACTGCCAAGCGGGGGACTGAGGTTAAGGGAAGCCTCGGCAGCACACTTCGCGTGTCTGAACGGCTCTTGTGGAGAAGAAGATGGAGCAGGCACAATCTCTGCTGCTCGCAGGAGCAGGGCTGGAATTGGCAGGTGGAAACTGCAAGGATGCCTGTTCCACCTAAATATCAGAAGACGCCTCCGGGCGGCAGGAGCTGTTCTACCCTCAGCGGGCTGCCTCCGGAGGGCACAGGCTCCTCTTCGCCAGAGGCTTCTCAGCAATGCTTGGAGACCCTCCTGCCTGCCCAAGAGGCTGCCGTTGCAGGCCCAGCGACGGAGCACAAGATTCAGTGACGCCCAACTCCCCTTCCAGTCCTGCACATTCCAAATCTCCCTGCAGAAGCTCTGAACCTAAGCAGCACCTTCCCAGCTCAAGTCGCTCATGGGCTGTGGAGCCAGGGGAGACCAGAATGTCCCCAGAGGGAGAACTGAGACTCCACCTCGTCGTTGCCCAGTTGCCCTCTGCAAAGGAGCAAAGTCGGTTCTCGGCCCCAGAATCTATGGCCCCAGGCTCAGCCTCGCAACCAAGTGGGCGTCTGGAGGAAGCAGACACATCTCGGCTCTTCCTGGAGTCAGGATGTGCCCACATTCCACAGCAGAGCGGAAGGGCTGTTTCTGTTGTTCATTCCGGTAGCAATGCATTGCTTTCCCCGTAGGACACCACCTCCCTCCTCCTTTCAGACTCTCCAGCTTCGTTGGCCTCCGCCTGTCTCCCATTTGTCTGGGCGCCCGCCCGCCATCCATCCGTCATGGGAGGGTCTGGGGACCACTTCTGAGAGCAGGAGCTACTTTTTGCTGCTGATTCCCTTTTTCTTTTTTAAGATAAGGGAGCTTTCAGTCCTGAGCGCCGGATCTGGCCCACGGCTTGCCAATCACCGTGCCTGCCTGAAGCAGCCAAAATTATAGGGCCGCACTAACGAAACCCCAGAGCATCTAGCAAGGAATGCTGCTGCAGGCAGACATCCATGCCGGACCAGGGAGAGCTAAGAAAAACAAATGTGCTAATTGCTAACCCATTTCTGCAATGTTCTCTCCGCCCAGTCTAAATATACACACATTACCCCATTGTTTTCCTGACTCACTCGCCCTTTACTCGGAATTTGGTCCTGCTATATAAAGTATATGGTATCATGGCAACAGTTTGCAGAATGCAACAAATGTAAGAGGCGAAACTGATAAGCAGAGGACTGGAGCACAGGATGTGTTTTAACCTCAGGAGAGGTTTGTGGAGAGGCGATAAACCCACAACAAGAGAAGGGGTGGCAGGGGACAGAGAAGTCAAAGGTAAATTTATATACTGTTTCTCATATTGAAAGAACTGCACCCTACGAACTTCTACATCGGTTAAAAAGTGTCTGGTGGGCATTTTTCTGGTCCTCAGCAGTCCAGATGCATGCAGAGACTCTAAAAGGCAGCTGATCTGAATCCATGTCTGTTCACACAGAGCTCTTACTCCACATTCAGGGTTCCATTTAGAGCTGGCAGGGTTCCCAGCCCGGACGTATTTGTGCATGTTCCCAGTACTGAACACCCGCTAACTAGCAATGGAAGATGCAGCCCAAGTTACTAGAAGCCTAAAATCACGACAAGTTTCTCCAAATTCACAGTGCAGCCAAGGGTACATTCTGAAAAATCTGCAGGGCCAAAACATGCAGAAGCCCTGGCATCCCCCATTAAAAAACAGGAAAAGCACTGGGGAAGACACTGGGAAAATGGATGCCAGTCAAAGCAGCAAACCCACTGGGCTAACTGGGTCATGATTGCTGGGAAAGTGAGACAGGGCCTTCTCTGTGGCTGCCCCCAGGCCATGCAG